AAGGTGTCTTTTGCAGTGTTATTTGAGGCTACGAGAGTCAGCTGACGTCAACAACCACACACAATAGCATCAGCAATTGCCTACTTTAAGTCTCGGCTCAAGAGTCTAGCCAGACAAGACAATTCATGACAAACTGCACATTTATTTGGAATAATTCGCTCCCTGTGGCCACGAACCGGCTTAACCACCAATTTGTTGATTTTGAGTTTTGTGTGTATTTGGCACCTGTGTACCAATACCTGTTTTGTCTCAAAATTATGAGATTTCATTTCTTCGCGATATTGAGATATGACATGTAGTATCATGACGTTGCTTGGGATTTTACAATCGTTGAAAAACTTCGAACTCAATTTCTGTAAAAGTAACGCGCATACGCCGTTCCGTGAAGACTATTCTAAATCATTCTAACTTATTCTAAATTATTCTAAATTATTCTAAATTATTCTACATTATTCTAAATTATTCTAAATTATATGCCGCTTGTCCTGAATAATGCAGACCAGACTCTTTGAGCTGAGACTTACAGTATGCACTTATTGATGCAACGTCTAGACAGTTCTCCATCTTACCCCCAAACTCCCTGTAACTTACCCCCTCCCCCCCCCCCTGATCCTTCATCTTCAAACATAATCCTAAGTTACCAGGCGAGGAGTGCAGCTGCAAAGGAGGAAGCTGCCTGCGGTGTTGGCCTTTCATTTGGCCCTGACTTGGCGTTGATATGCCAGGCCAATTGTCTCTTTCTTTGGAAATGTCCTCACTTTTCTGTCATCTTGGCCTCTTAGTGCCTATGGTTTTTTTGAATATATGTTGATCTTTTTTATGTTCCATGTTTTTGTTCTCTTATTGTTCTTCTTATCAATGCTATTACTGTTATTATTACTGTAATCAGTTTGTTTAAATTATATATTTTTTATCTTTTTCTTTTTTTTTTTTTTTTTTTCTTTTTTTTTTTTTTTTTTTCTTTTTTTTATGACATTAATGCAAACGAATAAAAATGTGAGAGAAAGGAACGACCAATACTATTCTTAATAAAAGAAAAATAATAATTATCAAAAAATAAATAAATAGCAATGATAATTAAGGAGCAGACTACGGCCTCCCTCCACGGTCCTCCTCGAAGCCACTCACCCTTGAACACGTAGACTCTCAATTCCACCTGAATGGATTTCGTGTCCCTCTCCACCTTGACCACAACGCTTTCCTTCGCTCCTTCCACGTCCAGCAGCTTCGTGCAATCGCCTCTGCATCCCGAGCACGAGTGGTTATACTTCTGCT